CCGACGATTGTGATTTGTAAGCAATTGATATATAGAACAAATTGAAACGAGTTTTCAGCCGAATCTATTTTCCGAACCATTGAAAATACTTTAGCAAGGAATCTATTTGAATTCACATTAGTAGAAATACGTAGAAAATAAAGAGTTCACATTCCTGCGACATAAATTTTACTGAACTGAATATTACTCAGTGTCGATGATATTTTGACCCTGAATTTACCCCCACCCCAACACTGAATTCGACACTGAAACTGAGTTTTAGAACCCCGCGCCCTGAGTCTTGACCATTCTATACCGGTACGGAGTTTTCACTGCGCCAAATTAATCTAATAAAGAGATCTGTATGGTATACAAACTAGTCTACACGAAATACTTGTTGGTTTCCCGTTCTCTCCAAAGTAGTTGTCGACAATCTGCTGGTGCCCACCAGCCCAGTTCCGATCCAAGTTTGGCTGGCGACCGCGACGAGACCCGCTCCATGATCGTGAGTGCACAGCTGCGGCTTGGCGGACGGGTTCTTGGGCTGCCGTACTTATGATGACATCGATTTCCTCGTCGGACGAATGCTTCAGTTGATTCCACAACTGCATGAGTCGGTCATTCTATTGGGTGGACTTCGAAATGACCATGCATATCTTATCTATTTATACTGTATTAATTTTCGCAGAATTGCGGTAAAGGTCACTGTCACGATGCGAACGAATATCCTTCACACTCAATTTTTTTTAATTCAGTGCAGAATATGACACTGAAAAGGACTCAGATCCAGGGTAAAAAAATCCGTGTTTCGGTGGAGATGCTCTTAGTAGAAAAAGTCGGATGCACTATGCAAATTTGAAGTTATTGTCGGACAAACGTCCGACTTTTGCGTTCATTGGAATGTGCTTTCGATACAAAAGGTAAGTCTAAAGCTAAAAGATAATTTGATCATGAAAAAGTCAGACAGAAATCCTGTATCCATTGATTGGCACAAATTGACCCCATCATGGCAAATGTACTTAACCCAAATGTGTTGGTTTGGTTAAAACTGCATTTAACTATGTCATAGTAAGAACAAGTGAAATGATTTCGTAAGTAACAGTGGAACGGATGCTCTCAGGGAATTCCTGGTCGCACTGTATGTTGTGGGCAGGTGTACTGTTCAACTCAGACGTATGATTACGAAAAAATGTCTAACTAAAGTTACATGTGTATTTCTGCTGTACGAAACCGTACAAGTAACGTTCGCCGATGAACCTTATCTTATTGCAATATTGTATACTTGCGAAGTAGCAAATTATAGAAAACTACCTGGTCGTTTCACACTTGGCCTTTCAGTCAGCATGGAGAATGATGTCGCTACGCACAACGTTGTGTTTGGCGATGGGCATGAATATGTCCCGTTCAAGATAGGAGAAGGCTACTCCGGAGCAAAACGCAACGTGAAGAAATGCTTCTTGTGCGTTGGTACTGTAATAC